CTTCAGTATAGATAAAAATTTCTGGACTAGCAGTGCATTTGAAACGAGTCAAGAGAACTGCCCAGACCAAAGGGAGCTCCTCCTTGTTGCCCTCTGGAGTGCTTTTACAGCATGGCTTGCACTGAAAGAGATGCCCCTGAAGCTCTCAGTGAAGCTCAAAACTAGTAACTGCCCAGCAGAGGAGTTTCCTCTGTGGTATGGAAGGCTATTTCCCCCACAGTAAATCACTTAGACATGAACTTTCCCATAGAAGAAAGCAGCAGCAACTGGATGCTTCAAACGCATTTGCTAATGGAGACAGCAATTTTCTTCCGTGGCATGAAAAGAAAAGCGCTCCTTTCAGAACTGAGGTATCCATTAAGAGTGACACTGTGGTCGCAGAAATATGTGAAATAAAGACATCCTAAAGTTTGTTTTGAAACATTCTCCACAGCTAGCACTACGACTATCATGAATCTGTGAAAACCCTAGGTACGTAACAAGTATTTACAGGACAGATTGTAGGTAAGAAACTTTGTAGTAAAAAAAGGTTGCAAATAAGCGTTATTGCACAGCAACTAGCCAAACTTGTTTGATTCCTAACAGAAGTCTTTTCTCCTTTCTGCTTCACCATACTCCATATCTACTAGCAACATTAACTCACTATTTTTATCCTTTTCCAGGCTCTTGCCCTCCTTAACCTCTCTCTTTCACTCGGTTGTCCATGAAAGCAGCTGCGACCTCTATGCACAGAGGCACAGACTTATTTTATCTCATCCTCCTTACGATGGTATTTCTCTTCCCTGTTTTTATTCTTCTAGTTTTTTAGTCTAATAATTTTCCTAATTCTAGTTTAAACTGCAGGTGTCAAGGTCAACCTTTACCAAACTGACATCTAAAGTATCAGAAATTATATATTGACATTTGTGTGATCTGTACATCTATAATACATTATATAATAATCTGTACGTATGTTTTGGGATGGGTATTCCAGGAAGGTAGAGCAGCTCAGACAGTCAGAGTACAGGAATGGCAAGATGGGTATAGAGTGCCTAGAGTCTATCAGCAAGTCAGATATCATATATTTTGGAACATGAACAAAAAAAAATCTTCTGACACGCCTCAGCTCCCCCGGGAATTCCCACCCCCCCACCTATACCCCGTCGTACGCTCCGT